TAAAAAAACTAAGGCTACAAACTATGTGATATGTGGCAACATTGTCCAGGATCCAAATGCTTTTGGTGCCTTTATATGGAAAAGAGAAAGCTTTACTTGAAAGTTCTTCATGACTAGAAAGATTACCGACTTGATTGGTAAAGGATGACTTGTTCTTGTTCAACATCTGAAGGATTTGCTTGCAATCCTCTTGAGAGAATGGGAAACTAGCCATGGTCTCCTGCTTGTCATGTTAGTAAAGTAAGAACTTACACTCATGTTGCCTTGGACGCAATCATGAATCTCATTCTCAACATGGAATAATTTAACTATATTCACATGTGAGAACCTTTCTTGCAAATCGGTCCACATCTTTCGAGCGTCTTTGTAGTTGATGACGCTCCCTGAAATCTTTTTCAACATGGAACCTAGCAGCCATCTCTTGACCAAGTTGTTGCAACGATTCCATTGTTGCAACTCCTTGGGATTGTTTTCACTTGGTTTCATGATTGTCCCATCAACAAAACCGAGTTTGATCTTGACCGTTAAGGCTATACTCATGGATTGAACCCATGTGTTGTAGTTGTCTTCCACCAATGGCTGTGGCACGATGATTGCGCCAGGTTGGTCCGAGTGATGAAGAAAAAGTGGATGATTGGGATTTTCTCATTTTGAATGAGAAGTCATGCCTAAACTGGTTGACCTCAAGTCTGGCTTGTCGCCCATGATCGTGTTTGTTTTGAAACTGTGGTTTACATTTTTCCCAGATCAATTCTCTAGTACCATCTAAGAAAACGAGTTGTACTGGAATTGTATTTGCTTGTATATATTCATCCAACTAGGTTTTCATTCTTATATACACATATCAGTCAACACATTCCTATTCTATTGCCTATAATCAAGGCTGGAACAAAGACTAAATAAGGAAGTAAATAACTACATATCAATTTACAATATATGGTAGATCAATCAGAAATTTCGTTCTCAACAATGTGGCTCTCCTAACAAACAAGAGATTCACTTTGCTAACTAATAACTATACAAAATGTTCAAAACGCAACAAAATCCAATCCACTGGTTTCTATTCTTATATGTAGCATACGATGCCCTAAACGAAAAAAAAAAGTGAGTGCCATACCAATATAGTGAACTCATATAGGATTCATACTTGTACTGTGTGCCAGACAATTTGAGTGTGAAATTAATTTATTGAACTCATGAGTTCAATATATCAAATTCATGAGTGTGGCACCAAGATTTTAAACTTACACTAGTGCAACAATAGTGTTATAGAAATCAAACTAATGATGTCTGGTTTCTATGTATAAATATCACACACACCCAATGACGTAGCCATAATTTTATGGCAATGAGGGGTGACAAAGAAGTTCTCAAATATTGGTTGGTCACATATGCTTTTGGCCTCACACATGTCTAGTTATGTCTAAAATTCAATTTCTTATATATCTAAGATCTTCCAATATTTCTTTATTCAATGTTTAACGTTGAAAGAGGTCTCGCATTCGAATCTCCGCCTTACTGATGTAAAACTAAGTTCTTGGTGCTCCAAAGCCTTCTTTCTAAGTCAAAAACAGGGAAAGGACGAAATTATCCCCGTATTAATGTGCAGTCAACCTCTTTCCCTTCATTTTCTTTGATTTTTTGCATTCGTCCTCGCTTCTCTTAACTCTTTAAGTCTTCACTGCCCTCAAAACTCTCCGCTTCATCTTTTATGCATGTTTTACTTTTTCTTCCCATCTATGAATATGTTGCTTGGGGTTTAAATTTGCAATTCCAAAATCTGCATCTACTGCTCACAAAATAAAGTGGTTGTTTTTATTAGCACATCCTACGTAATGTTAAATGCATCCCATATTAAAATTTAATATTAAATGACATATGTTCCTGACTATGCAATGACAATTTTGACATTATTAGGTTTTAAAAAAAATTAAGAAATTTCTAAATAGATCCAAATCACTTTTAATATATTTTGTCTTCTTCAACCTCTCAAAACCCCTCACCCTCCATTGTTGAACAAACACTAACCAGTTAAACTACTAACACGTTGATTGAGAAAAATTATTTTTAAAGAAAAGAACATGCAATCTATGTTTCGAAAGCTTCACATGAGATTGAGACTTTATATTTTTCATTCTTTATAACCCTATGTTATTTAAGCCTTTCTAATGTACTTGTGGATATTTATGGGTTCTGATAGCCCTGGTTGCGATTCCCCAAATACTTACTTGGTTTACTAATGTACGCAAAGTATTTTGGTTTTCTATTGTACGCAGGGTATTTTGGAAACCATAATACCCAGTAACGCAGGAAATCATATTACCTAATAACGTATAATGTATGATGAACAAATGTGATTAGAGGATCTTCAAAATCCTCACAAAAAGAATTAGGCGAGAATTCTCTCTTCCCCAGGAAACCATACTAGCCAATATTGACTTAAGCCTATTATTGACTTAAGCCTAATGTTTATTTACAATTCCCAGAAAGCATAGTACCCAATGCCACTATTGCCACTAATCAACATTTTAAAATAATTTTCAGCATTGCATTAAATAGTAGTGATAGACTTATTATCTAAGAAATGCATCTCTCTTAGGAACTTCTGTAAAAGTTAATATGCATTATTTTTCTTTGTGCTATCAAGTTTAACTTCTAACCACGTACCGATTCTACGGTCGTTTTAGTAATTGACAGCCAGAGGCATATATCCATTATGCACTCACTTTTTTCATTGGTCTCCACATCAAACATGGGATGTTAGGGTTTTACTGATCCTAAGTCAATTTCATTTATATAAAACTTAAAAATGAGTATTATAAGATGTGAAAAGTGTGGGGCATATAGAAAATGTGGGATGTATGTAGAAAAAATGTTAGTGTATGTTGAGAATGTGCAATATAAGGGTATTATGGGAAGTATGTGGGGTGTATTAATATAATGTCTAATTGAAAAAGTAAATATAAGATATATTAAATATGTGAGGTTTATTCAACAATATGTAAAGTGTTAATATAATAAACCAATAAAGTTTATATTTTTTGATTTAGAATTCAATCATTTCAAGAAAATTCGCTATGCATGCATAGCTACTCATTTTTTTTATGCACTTTATAAGATCTTATAAATCTTTTCGTATTATGCATTTTTCCTCTCAATTTGAAATTCAGCAGAATGAAGGTTTATATTTTCGTTTACAATAGGATGAAAATAATCACATTATTCAACCTTTATTCATACTTGCATGCTGAGAATTGCGTTAGAAGAGTTTACTGTGATCAGCTTAGTGGAAATATGAGATAAGCAGTTCGAAAAGTCTACCTTTTTCTCATATGTATGCTTTAACATGTCACTTTTAATTATTGATGAGCAATTGAATTTTATTTTTCTTCTCATAGTACAGTTAAATTCATGGATCAAAATGTTTGTTTTTAACGTATCTTATTAAATGCATTTGATAGCTGATTGAAGAAAGAATTCATTTTTTTTGGCAATTAAGAAAATTGCTCTCCTCAATAATTAAACTTTCGTTGCCTTATCTTCACCAAAAATGTCATTGATTTGCATTAACAACTTCTATTTCAATTTGTAACAGAGAAGCATACATATGAGGAAAAAAAACTCTGAAGTCGATCAAAGAAGTTCGAAATGCTGGTTAGCATATGTGTAAATAGCATTGTAAATATGATTGTAAATATATGTGTAATAGAGTTGTAAATTGCAGCATGGCGCGGGTGCCATTGTTTGTATGAACAAAACATGTATGTTATTTTATTGGAGTTACATATCAAATACTCACATTTATGTTGGTATTAGTGTATATGTTTTTCTGTAATTATTTGCAAAAATAGTATCAAGTACACGAGGTTTTTTTTATTTTATATTTATTTATTTTTTAACATAATATACATGAGTTGTATTATCTATACATGTATGAATTCTTTGGGTCATATATTAAAATTTAGTGGTAAGACCATCTCCATTTGAAGAGGCTATGTTTAGCCCCGTCCAGAATTATAGCCTTATAAAAATTATTATTAAATGAACCGTGTCAAGACATTAAATGAACAGTGTCAAAACATATTTATATATCATCTCCAACTGAATGAGCTATTTTTTAGCCCTCTCAATAATTTATTATTTTTAAGTTTATTCTTTAGCTTTATTGGTTAATTGAATTAAACTATCATATTAAAATAAATTTATCTGGACATATTTTGAGTGTCACTTGTTGTTAAATGAATACATATTTTGAGTACAATTTGAAAAAATATTGAAAATTTTAAATTCAAATTATTAGAAAAAGTAAGAGAGGGGTGTGTATAAAAAGAGTGTTTGAGGTGAATAGAATGTGAAGAATTGGACTAAAGTGAGGTAAAATAGTATGGAATGGTAAAAATGATATGAGAAATGGTGTAGAAATGGTTTAAGCATTTATAGGATAACAATTAGAATTTTTTTTTTAATTTCAACCTTAAAAAAAAAAAAATACCCAACAAATGGACTGCCAAGCTGGCTCAACATGCCCAACCCGATGGCCAAAAGGCTCTAATTAGAGTTGGGTTTTGTTAAAAAGGGGCTAAAAATTGGTTTATGGTCCTATAGCCATCTTGTTGGATCAAAGGCATGTATTGCTGCCACCCTGCCTCCGCCACTGCACTTACCAGAACCACTGGGGAGGCATGAAGTGTTAAAAAAATATTACCAAATTATGAAAAACTTATACCTTGTACGGATGAGCGTTTTAGTTGGCAAATCCACAAATAATAAAACGGTTACCATATTGGCAACGCTCATTCTCAAAAAAGAGAAAAAACAATAATATATCATATCCCCACAAATAAACGGAAAATCCAGGTATTAATGGAAAGAACATCTACACGGTCTACCTACTGTTTTAAAATATTCAAATATTGCTGCACCGTCCGATCAAATATATGACCGTTGGAGGAGCCGAATCGTTTTAAATTTAAAGCGACAAGTCATCTCACACAATAAAACCAAGCAACACAGATACCAAGGATATATACAGTTAACCTCCTCCTCCCCGTCCTCTCTCTCTCTCTCTCTCTCTCTCTCTCTCTCTCTGTAGGTTGCTCTCAAGTTTTATTACAATCAATCAATGTCAAGGGTGAAGCCGGATCGCAAGCCTCCGCTGGCTAAATCACCAATTAGGCTTCGACCCCGTCGGGTCCTCGGATCAAACTCAAACGTTATGCAAACCCCATCTGGACGGTCTGAGATCCGGTTCCAGCAGCAAGCCGATCCAATTTTAACAGGTCTGATGCGTTTTTTGTTTTTGAATATGTGCGGTTCTAATCACAATAAACTTGAACTGATAATGATTTTATAAAATATGGGGATATTTTAATTTGCATTAATTGGTTCAGGAGGGTCTTTAAGAAGATCGGAGAAACCAAGGCGCACAAGCTGCACATGGGAGATGGAAGAAGCGGATCTTCGACCCGAATACCAGTCGATTTCGTGGGAACTGAGGGCTTTAGCCAAGATGGTTGGTGACGAATTGGGCAAGGAAAATTGTGATGCTGCTGATGTGGATAGTGATATGAAGATGAATTGTGGTGGTGGGAATTCGTTGGTTTCGAGCCCTTTGTTCGAAAGGGGTAGATTTTACGAGCAGTACTCTGCCAGAAGGAACGAGCGGCTCAATAGGAAGAACAAGATCAAAGAGGCTCAAACAAATTTTTTTTCGTCAACAACCGCATCTGTGTCTAAATTTAAAAGCTATAATAATAAGCTGGGTGTGACGGTAGAGTCTGCCAAAAGAAGCGGTTTTACCAGTACTACCAGTAGCAGCAGCAGGAAGCTTCAAAGCAGCTTGAGGAAATCGGTGGTCTCTGCGGTGGTGGAGACTCCAATTCCAACTCCAACTCCAATTCACCGGAAAAGCACGAGTAGCCAGTGCGAGAAACAGGCTCCTCCTACTTTAATTCCAACTCCAACTCCGAGGTACATGCTGAGGAGCATGACGAACAAAGAGAATATGAAGCTGCCTCCTCTGCCTCAGCAGCCTTCTCATAATAATCCTAAGGCACCTGCCATCCGTGGGGGACGCAAAAGCGGAGCTCCATGTTCAACTCCATCAAGAGTCGTTGGGGGGTATTAATCACTAGATCGCATTAGATTAGAGAAGATTGATTGATTTTATCATGTTTGTTTGGAAATTGGTTGTTTTAGTTGGGGAGTTAGACTCTCACTCGATCAGTCCGGCAGAGTTTGGGTTGCCCTGCCTCTGTTTTCTCTGTTTTCTCTGTTTCTGAAACTCTCTCAAACTTATATAATGATAGTGTGAATGTTGGTTGGTGCCTGTTCTAATAATACACTCTCTCTTTATCAACTCATCTCACCCTCAACTCTCAATAGTAGCTTTTGGTATCTACGGCGGTGCTAGCAACCTTTGTATTCCAACATTCTCATTTTATAACATGTCGTGTCATTTTGTACACACAAAAATAAACTTTTTAACGCTTTTGGTAAAGATGAGAAGGTCCAAATGCAAAGGGTGGTGCAAGGTTGCTGACATTTCTCTTGGCATCTATCCTTGGATTGAAGCACATAGGTCAAGTGGCTATTTTTCAGTTTTAAGAGGCAAAGTGAGACCCGAGTTCTGTTTGGCGCCCCCCGCCGGGGGGGGGGGGGGTAAATGAACAGTAAAGCTTAGGCCATATGGCAAGACTGTAAATGAAGACTTTATCTTTATACAACTAATTGATCCTGGAAAATAAAAAAGAACAGTAAACAAAAGATAAGGGATGCAAAGCAGTGACTGACTTTTTTGAAATCATATTCAGGTTGAAAGGGAAGAATGAAGAAGCTTATATCAAGAAGGTACAAAGAAAGACCTATGCCTGAGCTGAGGGTTACATATTCCCACCCAATGTAAAGCCCGGGAAGCTTACCGTCGTTCCTCTATGCAACAACAACAACAACATTCCAGTCATTGATTTGGGGATGGTGAAGCAGCAGCGCAAGCTTGTGATATAGCTGACCAAATACTCAAGGCTAGCCAAGAATTTGGATTTTTTCAGGTCATTCAATTTCTTCCATCTGTAATTATGTAGGTAGCTTGTAAGTTATTAGTACTAGTGCTGCAGACAGCTAGTAGTTAATCAAAAGGGTTTGTTGATGAGATTTGATTTCAGAGATGTTGTCGGGAATGCTCCACACAAGTGAGGGAACTGGCTTGGAAATGTTACTGTCAGCAAATTATCACCCACCTAGCCCGGAACCAAGTTTAACACTAGGATTACCTAAACACGGTGATCCAAACCTTATAACCATTTTACTCCAAGGGGATGATCTTGTCAATGGTCTTCAAGTTCTCAAGGATGGGGAATGGATTTCTGTTGTTGCTCTTCAAAATGCACTTCTGGTTAATGTCGGTTATCAATTACAGGTACACCCTTCCTCCCTACCATGGATGTTCCTCACCGGTCACCTTTTTCGCTTTGCCATGCATGACCATTTACAAATTATACACGGTTGCAAACTTGTTACTGGGATATTGTAGGTTATCAACAATGAGAAGTTCAAAAGTGCTGAACACCGGGTATTGACAAATTCAAATGCAGCTCGGATTTCAGCTGGGTTTCGTGATGCCTTCCCATGATTCCCTTGTAGAACCTGCTGCAGCTCTTATCAATGCAAGCAATCCCCAACTTTACAAAGGCTTCCCATACAAAGACCTGTTTCTCAACTTTGGTACAACGCTGGGAAAAAACCAAACAAGTACTGGATCGCTTTAAGCTTCAGGGTTAGCAGCTCAATACAACTTGAAAAGGGATAATTCAAAAACTTCGCTTTGGGCACTGCTCACTTGATCAATTGTCCTTTTTGCTCTCTGACGAGGCAAAAGCTTACACAAGGTCTCCGACTACAGTTGGAGCTTATTTTGGGTCATTTTATTGATAGTGCCATCCCTGTGATTGTGAACCGAGACTCGAGCTCGAGTGAAATTTGCTTTGTCGTGTGAATCGTGTATCCAATTAATCTTGAATACATATGTGACGAGTAACGCAGTATATGGAAATTTGTTTATTTTCATGTATATATACACATTCTAGTCTGCAACTTCATCTGCATTATGCAAGTTGTACAAACTTCTAGAGAGCGTTTAACACTCATTATTTTTATTGTTCACACCCACAGGCAGGCACAGGCCACAGATTATATCTACAAAGAGCAAAAAATGTCAGTCCGACGATGACCCTTGGTCACTCTCTTGTGCTCTTGGACCAACAGCATTGTCATCATTTATGGGAACAGTTTGTTCTTCAAAGTTCTCCTGCCCAACCCCAACTTCCTCTTCTATTGATGTCTCCTCCGCATCTGCCTCCTCACTTTCATCCACTCGATAATAAACCTTATAATTTTGCAAAGAAACAATTAAGCCATATATTCCATTACTCAAGTTTTAGTTTCAACAAGATTTGACATTCAAATCACCACAAGCGTTTAGAATCATGTATCTATTTGCACTGAAACCAGAAATCAAACACAATAACACAATGTTCATCAAAACCATAAAACAACACCATCAAGGAAAGATGATCAATTCATACCACACATGTTTGAGCCGGTGAGAGTATTTTGAAGGAGTTGGGACGGTTGTTGAAATTTGTTTCAGGAACCCCCGGTATTCCTTCTGGGAATGTGAAGTGGTCTACATCATGGCCCACCTGCCAGCAGAGTAGTGAAATCAACATATCAAAAGGTCTACACCTGATCTTAAAGAGACACGACATGCATTTTGTTTTTGTTTCTTTTAATTGCATTATCCTCAAATACTCTCACTCTCATTCACCCCACTAGGATAGGAATCCCTTACTCTTCCATGGCCACCAAACTCCCAAGCATCACTATCTAGTGCAACTCTGTACTTCCCAGGTAAGTCACACCCAACTTTATACCTGTATGTTTCATAACACAGGTCACTCAAATAAACAACGTTATTTGTGCACAATATACTTTTACCAAAATGTAAAAACTGACGTACCCTTCGTATGTGTTTTTTGGATGAAAATTGAACACAAAAACTAAATCCCCACGCTCAAAGACAATAACCTGTAACATCCAACAAGTAGTCAATGTTTCTAAAATCCATCACCTTGTTTACATTATCACTTACTGGTTTATCTCTATTCTCTAATTGGTAACCATAAAACTGTAAGAAGCCAGGCAGGTTGGCTGGTGTGCTAAACAATGGATCACAAACATTTGAGTAAAGAACGAGAACCATCTTTCCACTGATGTTTGTGGGATAAGAGAAGATTATCTAACCTTGTCTTCTTCATTTGTGCTGCTCACTATCTGCTTTGTTGACGAAAGGAATGAAAACTTCTCATCAAGCAAATTCATAGCTTTGTCAAAGGCATTCATAAACTGGACAAGTTTCAAGCATAAGGATGTAAGAATCAGCACGTACTAATGCAAATAGAAGCAGAAAAATCAACATTGCAACATGAAATCGTACATTGAGATCCCTAAAACATACATGGTACACATCACATGGGTGCTTTTTGCATGATACAGAGATGGAAGTGGCAAAGCTCATCAATAATGTCCTACCACAATTCCATTGGAACATAATCTAGAACATCAAATCTGAAATATTGATCACATGGTCAAAGAAATTTTATGGCCGTCAGTTGCAAACTTACATTAAGTGTGACCGTTGACAAGAGCTGCTTTTAAATACAGGGAATGATGATAGATAACTATGGCGGCCCAATTATCTATCTAATTTTGTGAACCTATATGCATACATGCAAGCAATGTAAATGAATTTTTGTGTTGATGTTATGGGGCAAGTCATCAATTTATCCCTTAACGATTAGAAGTGTAGTAGGAGCAGCCATTCACAAAAAGCATAATCAAGCATGCAAATAACAGCAAAATTCTAAAAATAAAAACACTATAAAATTGTTTCCTAACCTTATATCTCAAATGATCTGTATCCACCAGGTTCCACTGGCGTCTGCACTTCTCATAACTCCACCCGTTGCCTTCTCTTGGAAAGTCGATCCATTCAGGATGGCCAAACTACAGAAATCACTCAGTAAGAAAATCTTCAACAGAAATCTTGAAACTGCAACACTAACAGAAGGAATTATGGGGACGTACAATTTGACTGATTAGGAAGGTGGGTTTTACATAATTTATGATGAGGAAGAGCCAGTCAAGTCTTCTAAATTGTTTAGTAACCCCTTAGTATCACTCCTCATACTTGGACAAAAGGCGGTTAGGTAAAGAATACAAGCTGATGCCTTAACTTGTTATCCCAGTTCTATGTGCTACATACATTTTTAAGAGTGATAAAGAAACCAACCCTTCTACAGGGTTTCAAACAGTAAATTTTTCATATGTTCGACGTTTCCTCCCCAATAAAAAATAATGGCACTTCCATAACCATTCTATTGAAATTTATCCAAGTCCGGCTATACAGTGACACCAATAGTTTGGCAGGCAGAAACTTTGGCCAATGTGCTTACCTCATTTCCCATAAAATTGAGATACCCCTCGCCACCTAATGCCATAGTCAAGAAATGTATCATCTGCAAAAAGGGGGCAAAAATGACAAAAAAGAAAAAGAAAAAAAGAAGAATGAACTGAAGATTTAAGAGCGTTTAAGAGATGAATCTGCTAACAAAATCTGATAGTGGTTAAGCTCTCCAGATCTAAAACTCAAGTCAGCCCCACAATCATTGTTAAAAAGACTAATAACATAGCAACTTTGTCAGTCATATAGGTAGTGAACAGGATTTGTGAAATTTGATAGTTATGGTCTTTGTTAATATAGTCTGCTATATATACGTTTAACCAAAAAAAAAAAAAAAAGATAGAGACTGTTCAGATAGACAGCTAAGAACATAAACCCAACATGTAAACAGATGCTTCTTGCACAGAGGTAGCAGAAAAACCTTGTGAAGCGCAACCCCTCGCTCAATGGTAGGAGAAGCATCAACTAAACAAGACATGCCAGAATACATTTCTCTATCCATCAAAAAGAATGCAATTGTCTTGTCACCCACAATTGCCTGAAACAAAAGAATTGGTATTATAGTTTGCCAGAGAATGTTCACTATGATCAAATTTGGGGTCACTTATCCTGTTTTGTCTCTTTCTTCATCCATAAAACACAAGAAAAAAGGAAAAAAAAAACTGATACCTGATCGTGACTTTCAGCGTAGGAGATACACTTCTCAGTGTACCTCCTATTTGTCAAGTTCCATGAAATTTCCTTCATTGACCACTCTTCGTCACTCTTGTTTTTCACATAGTCAATCCATTTGTCAGGGATGGCCATTGCCAGCCGGTAATCAAAGCCAATGCCACCTTCAGAGACAGGCCGACCAAGTCCGGGCATACCAGAAACATCTTCGGCAATTACAGTTGCATCTGGCAAAACTTTATGGATCAGATGGTTGGCAAGCATCAAATAAACAACAGCATCAACATCTGTTGCCTCACTAAAATACTCATGATAATCCCCTGAAAATGCCATGTTTATCCCGTGGTGATGATATAACATTGAAGTTACTCCATCAAATCGAAACCCATCAAATTTAAACTCCTCCAGCCACCACCTCAAGTTGGATAAAAGGAAGCGGAGAACTTCCCAATTAGCATAGTTGAAAAGTCGGCTATCCCATAACTTATGATAGCCTCTATCTCCTGTGTGGAAGTAGGACTCTTGTGAGCTTTGACCAACTTCAAAGCCATTGAGGCCATCAGTAATGTTGTTACTTGCATGGCTGTGAACAACATCCATCAATACCCGCAAACCTAGGGAATGGGCTTTGTCAACTAGATATTTAAGGTCTTCAGGTGTTCCAGATCTACTGCTGACGGCAAAGAAGTTTGTCACATGATAACCGAATGATGCATAATAGGAATGCTCCATCACGGCCATCAACTGGACTGTGTTATAGTTATTTGCTTGGATACGCGGTAAAACTGTCATCAGCAAATTCTCTATATGAACTGATGCGGGGTTCTGAGCTACTCATTCCAACATGTGCCTCGTATACTCGTGGAGCCTTGGGTTTTGGAGGACGAGGATACTTGAACTGAAACCTGCATGGTCAAAACACTCCCTAGTTAGCATGAATGGGCCAATCCAAAGTAAAAGTACCAACATGAAACATGTTTCTAGCTTTTGGAATTAGATGCAAGAATTTAAGTTCCCTAGAAACTCTGCATATCATTTCAGTTATCTATGAAGGTGGAATTATGAATAAATGGTACCTTTCTGATGGTGGTGGATCCCAGTAGACACCATCATAAGGTGCTGCAAACCTTGCTGGGTCCACGGTGGCATATTGAATCCAAGCAGGGATGCGATCAACCCAAACTCCATCTCCATGCTTGAACCGGAATTTAACCCTTGAATTGTGAGGAATGGCTGAATTTCCACCAGAATCGGGTATCTTGATACTCCAAACCCCAAATTGGTTCTTGTCCATCTTGTGTTTGGAACCATCCCATCCATTAAAGTCCCCAATAAGTTGTGCCTCCCTGAGTTATTTAAGAAACATAACATGTATTAAAGCAATTAAGACAAATCGTATGCCTCAGAAAGTTATGGAATTGTAGTTGAGAAGCTAATGAACTCACTGAGCGGCAGGGGCCCATTCACGGTACACAATTCCACCTTCTTCTCTGTTAAATCCAAATTTCAAATAACCTAGAGATGAAGCAAAAAGGTGTTAAACAATCTGTTTTAAGGAAAATGATACGATAGTATCTCTAAAGAAAGGAAATTTAAGAGAAGAAATCCATTGCATAAAATAAAAGTGACCTTGAGCAAATTCCTGTAGACCTCCTTCGTACGTCTCAATAAGCCTTCTCTGATCCAGGTATCTGTTGATTCTATAGTTGAAGTGGTCCTTGTGTGGTTGCAAGGATTGATCGATGCTCAAAATTCCAAGGTTTTCCATGCCTTGGTCGGTGTCTGTTATTATGGGGCTGTCGTCTATGAAAACAGCTTTACTTTTGGAAGTAGGCTCTGCCTGAGAAAGAAAGTGTGGATTGCAACTAGTTTATCAGTGAAAGTCGAAAGTAGTGGGGAAATAAAATGAAGAATGTGAAATCAGTTAGTATCCCCTTCCCCTTGTTAGAGTGAAACTAGTATTGAAGGAAGCATATTAATTTTACATGGCACATGGCGAAGGCAGCAGGCAGCAGCAGAATGCAATGAAGATATATCAACAAGCAAGGACCAAATAGTCAATCATAATATAACAATGTGAAATTAATTAATTATTCATCTTCTAGCCTGTCTGCCTGTCTGTTTACTGTCTAGAGTAAATGTAATTAAGATTTAAGAGAGAAAATGAATGATGAAAGTAAATTGATGTGAGCAAGCAGTAGCACGCACCTTGGAACATCTACTTGTTGTTGTTGAGGGGGAACCACGTCTGCGAAGATGCGATGATGAGTTTTGAGATGTTCCGAACCTCAACAACCGCACTGCTTGCTGCTCTTTGCCCTGCAGATCCAAATATGTTGCAAATCTCTAAGACGCAAAACAAAAAACGAATATTCTGCAAGTACCGCCACGTACGTTTTAAATAACTAACTAAGATTAACAATACATATATATTAAGTGATTAATTAAGGAAAGTAAAAGTAGGAAAGATTTTGGTTTTGGTTGAGTGAGTGAAGGTGACGAACCCTGAATCCAATCCAGAGCCTGGATGGGTACTCGTCGTTGGTACTCGTAAAGGTAAATGATAGAGGAGTGAGTGTGGGATGACGAGGAACCAAACCAGTCGGTGCCAACATCATCATCTTCTTCTTCTGCTTTCTTCCTTCTTCTTCTTCCCCGAGTCACCGACTCAGCCTGTCTTGCTCAATGATCGGCCATCTCCCATTCGTTTTCCTTTTCTCCCTCCCTGCTTGTATTAGTATTGGTCCTATTATTAATTAATTATAACTTATTACTCACAGCAAATGCAAGCTAAAGCCCACGCCAGCGCCCACTCCAGCTCGGATTCATTTCTTCCTAATGCTTCTGCTAATAGCCTGATAGCCTAATTCAATGGTGCTGTACTTGCTCATCCACTCCACTCTGCTTCTTATTCAATCGGTGAAATGCTTTTTCTCAACGGACGGTTTGTATTTGGTTAATGGTTACGACCTTTGTGCCAAGTGGGATCCACACTCAACTAAAAAAAATCATTGATTGCACCCGCCAACCTATTTGATTGCGGTTGCGATTGCGATTGCGATTGCTGATTGTGATTGCTTTCCGCTGGAAACAAAGAATAGCATCCACGTGACTGCGCGCGGGCCGTCAGTTCTATTTTCTTTTCTTTTCTCTACCCTACCGTGATTTTAAAATATTTTTTCTTTTCTTCTGAAAAGGAGTATTGGGCCAAGGCCCAAATAACATCCTCACCAGTTCGGCCCCATAAAGTTTGCAACAACACCGGGACGAGGATGACGAGGAGCAGAGTCCAAAATCCTTCATGAGTTTTACACTAACGACATGTCGTCTACAACCGACGCAATGTGTGCGAGTGCGACTACAAATTAGGGGAAGTTAGGGTTTTGCAGAACGAAAAGAAGAAGAGGAAGGCAGTCAGTCAGTCAGTGAATCATGAGCAGAAGTTTGGGAATTCCGGTGAAGCTTCTTCACGAGGCGTCAGGGCACGTGGTGACGGTGGAGCTCAAGAGCGGTGAGCTTTACAGAGGAAGCATGGTCGAGTGCGAGGACAACTGGAATTGTCAGCTCGAGAACATCACCTACACCGCCAAGGTACTTCAGTCTCTATCATCTATCGTTTCTTCTTCGTTTATAGTTTCTTCAATGTGCTGTTATTTTTGCCTTCTTTTCCAAGACTGCGATCTCCGCTGCCATCTTTTAAATTGAAACCCTAGATTTCAAGCGCTTGCACTGATAGTGAATCTGACGGCACCCTGTTAGGAAAATTTCCCTAGATGAAGCTGAATGATTGTTTCCATTTTCTAGGATTCGGAAAGTAGTGGTGTTGGTGGTGGAGAATCTTAAGAGATGGTCCGGTTTCCCAGTTTCCGAGTTTCAAAATGTTGGAGTAGGTTCAGTAAGGTTTAAACTCGCAATGGTTTTACAAGTCTCTATCACTGTTGGTGCACACACTACAATTTGAACAATTGGTTTTATTTCAACTGGTGTTTGGTCTCCATGATACCTCTGAAAGTTAAAAAGTTTACTTGAACCAAGCACTTAATGTGTTTTTTTCCCCTAGCTATACATCCTGATGATCAATTTTGAAAATAAGAGAAGCGGAAATTGATGGAAAAATATCCTATGATGGATGTTACTAACCTGATCTTATTTTCAAAGCTTGGACAATTAGTTTATCTTTGTTTCATTTAGTTTCTGACATTAGTAGACTCATCTACAGGACGGAAAAGTTTCACAGCTTGAGCATGTATTTATCCGAGGGAGCAAAGTAAGGTATATAATAACGGATCACTTTTTGTTTGACAGCACCCATTCATAATTTGGTCTAGTTGTGTTTGCTTTGCTACTTCCAATTTGTTCACTGATATTGATTTGAAATTCTAATAGGTTTATGGTCATACCTGACATGCTTAAGAATGCTCCAATGTTCAAGCGCCTGGATGCTAGAATCAAGGTATCATTCCATGTCTAAATGATCATCGAGTTTGCCATTGTGATGAATTTTGTTTTTTACTGACATTTTGATTTTTGAATCTGGTAGGGCAAGGGTGCTTCACTAGGAGTTGGCAGAGGTAGAGCTGTTTCAATGCGGGCTAAGGTAAGCTCCTCTCGTTTTTACTGAATATTAATGCAGTTTCTCTTTTGTCCATGGAACGTTTTCAGATGGTGGGTCTATAATAAAAGCGTAATAATATGGAATCTTTTAATCTTCTATTTGAGTTTAATAACGAAAGCTTGATGCCTTACATTTGAACATTCATGTGTGAGAAATGTGGAGACAACACAGAAGATTGCGCAGTGAGAAACAGAGTTCCTTGATTTAGTCTTGTAGCTCAGGCTTAGGGATACAAAACTCTGAAAATATTGAGCAACTCATTTATAGAAAATAAAAGGAGAAATGGATTTGGGTTTGAATAAAATATATTTTGTTGTGCAGGCTCAAGCTGCTGGCCGTGGGACAGCAGGTAGGGGTGTTGTACCACCTGTTCGGAGGTAATCGGCCGCCCGTTGTGCTACCCTTCAGAGTCCTCGGTGTAAAAGAATAGACATTGTTTGGGAGATGCGAGAAATCGGAGAAAGGGTTTCTTGACAGGCTGTTCTCGTTTTGTATGCATGTTATGTTTTGGAAGCTACATCTTTCGACTCTTACATGTACTCGATTTCAATGTAGTTGATATTCTTGATGTAATAGCGTCATTTCAATCTAAATCTTCAGAGTTGGTAGCATTTGTTCTGTTTATTTTCTCACAAGTTAAAAAAAGAGAGAAGGAAAACCCGAAGGCAAGGGAAGGCGGCCAGTCTTGCTGCATACCATAAACATTTCATTTTTCGAGTAGCTGTGGCACTTTTCGACATGCTCAAAACCAGATTAACGTGACAAGTATCCCCGTAATAGTGAATCACAATCAACCGAAAGAAAGAAGGCTTTTCCTCCCCTGCCATTTTTATTCCAACAGTTTTAAGTAACATACACATGGATAATGGATATGCATGCATGACATAAATCTGGTCGAAGAAATTTACAGAAATTGAGAAAACACCAACACATAATATTAAAAATTAGTGGAAGTAACCATATAGTTCTAAAAAGCAAATGCAGAAATTCCAAGGGTTGGAAGCATCTGCTGTCGGACCTGTCAGAACAACCCTAAAGAATCTGAACGGAAGAAGAGCGTTCTGTCCAATAACGGGCCATGATGCAAACTGCCCAGGCTTGCATATAGTTTGGTCATTCTCGTGCACTCTCAGATTTGTCCATGTCTTCCCATCCAGAGATCCCTATAAGAATAGTAACATATTCAGCAACAGGATTACTCCATACTCTTTCCTCCGTGTCCCACAATATTCGTAAACACCCCCAAAACGATGAACAAGCATGACTGAAAATGAAAATAAAAACGCTGCAATGTGTCACGTTCCCAAGTCTTTACCTGGAAATTCCAATATCTCATGTAGGCCCTGGACCCATCTTGCCTCAAGGTGTAGTAATTGCAAATAAGCTGAAAATCAGCCAACTTTCATTCATCAGAATGCCAATCAAGAGGAAATTACGACACCTATTTACTAGACAGGAAGGTAGTCCACATATGAATAAAATTAGGCACACTGTATAGGCTTTGAATTCGTTAACTTTATTGAATCCCTGTTTTCTACCAGAATGGAGCATATGACAATGTTTATATGCCAAAAGCACGTCCATGGTACTTTTTAACTGAAGCAGATTGAGCATACAGAGATATACCTGATGATCTGCACCAATATCAACCGTCCACCACGTGCTTTTGTGTCCATCTTCTATCTGTGGCCCAGCAAAAGATGTTCCCTGATGTGGCCATACATTGTCATATTATTTCGATTCCTCACATACCATATTTGATATTTATATTTACCGTACCCTGTAAGTTCTTGAGACCAAAGCCTTGGGATCAGTGAACCTGGAAGGGGGACTGCTTGCTGTAATAGTAATTCTCTGGAACATGCATTTATAAAGAACGGGCAGCTGTGTTAAAAATGATTACACTTAAGAAGTCATAAAAATGAAACAAAGATATAAGAATATACTTTAGCCAGAACAGGATTAACCCATTGATGTTCCCCATATGACGTCCCTGCAAAGTACAGAACTCCATTGCTGTCCCCGTCGCATATGTACTGGAGTTCCTTATAACTAGATCGTCTATGTTGGATTCTGAGACTACAAAAAGAAGACTATGTTAGCATACTAAATACCCAGAGCATGAACACCATACACCTTTTGTCAACGATGTTAACTCCAATACTCAATACTCACTTATGCTCATTTTCTGGCCTTGCCAGTCCATGCTTAATACAATTGATGGCCTCCATGACCTGTGATATCAGCATAAAAAAATTTATCTAGGAACAATTATCATTTTTACATAGAAATAAGAAAACACAGAAAGCCCAACTCACAAGATTACTGAAAGTAGAACTATGCCTGGCAATGTTGCTCTTCCCCAACTGCAAAATTATTATAGTCAGACAAAAAAATTCTAGTATTCAGTAGAATAGTGATACATCTCTATACCCAGGGTCCACATACCTTCTCAAGCAAGGGCAAGGCTAGTAACCGAAATCGAACAAAGGACAGAAGGTGATTAATTGTCTGCAGCCTATCCCCAAAAAGAAGTTCCGGGGTGCAGTATATCATCATTTCATCTATCATCTCCCACCCATACTCTTCCTTTGCTTTCACACCCCACATTAAGATTGCATTGAGAACCTTTTCTTCAGATGTTACAGTCAAATCTGGATGCTGCAATCAAGGCAGGGCCAGAGCTATTCTAAGGTTGCGGGTGGGATTTTCAAAGACCCCTTGTTATATAGACAATAATACAAAAGTAATAAAGAAACATATTTACATTTAAGCAGTGTAATCCTTCCCAATAAATTATGCACGTGATAGGATAAAAGAGTTAGAAGTAGAGCCTCCAATAATCATGAAAGTCATGTCTATTCTTCTATTAAGATTTGCAAAAGTAACAGCTCAAGACCTCTTGTTATCTCAAATCTTGTGTAGAAAGGTAATGGGTTTATAATCTTGTCAAGTTGTATTTTAATCAATAATACTCATTACAAGTACAAGTAACATTTTTAATTTTGCTTTATATTTTGTCCCCTTTAAAGTTAAAATCGCAGCTACACCTGCCACAAGGTAAACCTCACTGGTCTCTCACTAAGCTGGTTAACTTACTCCCTCCCACAGGACGCCTTTCCAACTTCAACCTCACTGGTCTCTTACGTCAGTCCTTTTGTATACATGACCTGATGTATTAATCCTGAGCCTTAAGCCATCCATCAATATTGATACTAGTGACTTAAACAGTGACTCCTACCTGAATGATATTGCGAAAGGTTGTCTCATCTAACAAAACGAAGTCAATGCTTGCGGTTGTACAGTAGTCAAAGTGCATCGAAAAGTTCATCTCACAGGTTTCTTGAATAAGTTTGCATGATGGAATCGACGAAACTACTTGAAGGACCAGACATACTGAGTCCTGCAACAAATATCAACAGTTAGCTTCAAAGCAACAATGTAATTATTTTTCCCAAACAGTCTGCTTCCACGTCCATTAAACTTGATATTAGTAAAATTCTTGTTGTATGACTTCTTCCACTAGAACTCCATCCCTGCATATAATATGCACATGAGATGTATCAAAATCTCTATAATTCATTTTTAAAAGCTCTTCTGTTCTTTTCAGAAGTCCGAAACCGCAAGTCACTTCCCCGTTCTTTTATTCTAGTCATGCAAGTGACATTCTGTAAAACTGACAAAATAGGCACGATATGAACCACTATAGATGAATTAAACTATGTTGTAAGATAAGGATTATCAAACTACCTCTGAGAGGTATTCTAAAAGTTTTTTGCAGCATTCCTGATGAAGGAGAGTAACTCCGAATTGATCAGCCAACAGAAAGAGTTGGAGTAATAAGGCACCAGAATCAACAGTAGCTTCTAAACTGAGTTCCCCACTATACATGAACTCAAGCAAACCTTTGAATGCTTCAGGTGATATGTCTCTTAAAATAACTTCCGGGGATATTGTTTCACTCATTCCATTTGTAAACATCTGCACAATGAAACATTTGAATAGAAAAGTCATCCGTGAGACTTAAGAAAACAAATTAGCATGGACAGATAAGAATGCACCCCTAGATCACATTTAAACCAACATTATGCTCGTATAGCAATGCATTTCCTCTCTACGACAATTATGTGCTTATGTGGTTTATCTGAGAAGCATAAGGGTGTACATAAAATAGAATAAAATGGAGCAGAATGATGATTAATTGGCTCACCTTTGCGAATGGGAGACTCCATAAACTAAGAATAATTTTATGTGATCGGGCAATAAGTCCATGACCCTCAATGTAGATATTTACATCACTGTACTTGCTTGTTAAATACAATTGTTTCAGCCGCGGTATATCAACGGGAACTCCAAATGGGAAGGCCGTGCAACAATTCGGTCGAGTGTATGGATATGACAATTCCACACATTTTCCAAAGTCAAACAACTTTTTATTTAGTTTCCACCGTTCCATGGCTTCCTCACATTGCTTCACTAGTGGAATCACTTCAAATTGTAAGCCTAGAGCCCTCAAGGAACCAAGTTGTGGTTCTGGAATCTATATCAAACAGAGCCATAATACCTATTAGAATTGCAATCTCTGTAACAAAATTAGAAGTGAGAAAGGAAGAATATTTAGAATACTAGTCTCTATCAAATAATAAGGATGATTAAGTTGGCTTACAAATCACCCACGTGATCTTTTCTTCTATATATACATATATATGTGTGTGTGCGCGCGCGCACGCAAGAGAGAGAGAGAGAGAGAGAGAGACGAATCTCATGCAAAAATAATAATAAGCGAAAGGTTCTTCATGTAATATACCTGCTTGTCAGGGATGCAGGGGCATCTGTGGCATAAAATAACATATATTTGTAATTTCTTTACGTTAACATGCTAGATATGCTTCTGATATGTCAACAGATATGCATTTCTGATTTCCCCATAATTTAAGCTGTATGTACCTGTGTTCGGCCTGTGTAAATATATTGAAGTAGTGCATGTAGAACCGGATAAGCTACCCCCTTTAGGCGGAGAATATCTTCTGAAGAAGTCAACGGGAAATCACCAGTTGCTACCAAAATAGACTTGTGAGCTGGTACAGGCCTTTCTTCAGTACCAACGATGAAAAGAACATCAGATAACTCCCAACTTTCAAGAAAATCTTCAATCCCCCATTTCTCATAAGCCGTTCGTTCATCCTCCAGCTCCTCTTCATCATCATCCTCACATATGTACTCGCCACAGTCCACATGCTTCCACAAGGATATATGGTTGCGAGTTAATGGCAATACACTGACATTCCTATAACCAACATGTTTATCCCAGCTACTAAGCCCGATATAACGAACAGCACAATTTGGATGTGAATCTAGCCACTGAAAGACTAGATTCTGAAAAGGGTATTTTCCCTTACCAATACTGATCAAACCATCACAGATGCTGATCCAGTAGCTCTGAAACGCAGAAGAAGAACAAAGACCAACACCCTCCACATCCACCACAGTATTCCCATCTACCTCAATTTTCAACCGCCTATTCCTATGACTGCCCAGTATAACAGTGTAGTGAGGACTATTATCTCTTTTGTAATGATAGTGCTGGCTTCCTACATTCTCCCGAAACACCAGTGTTACATCATTGTGAGCAAAAGCTTCAAAAGCCACACAACCCCGCCCAGCTTCCCGGAATTTTAAATCCTTTCGCCAAGCACACTCAAAGGGGGCCACTGTAAGGAACTCTTTCTCTTTCTTATCCATCATCAATTCTTATTACAGAATACCATCAATCGCAGAGATGGATCATGGACTGGACAGTCTTGTACCTAGAGCCCTGACTGACTAACGGACTGACTGACTGACCATCTGGAAAATAAGGACAAACAGAGTGTGATTTAGGCAACAACACAAACATCCATGTTAGATTTTAAAATATGACTGACTGACTGACTGACTGACTGACTGGCTATTATAATCGGAAGAGTGAATTCAGTATCAAATTTTCAACGAATCAAAAGCACGTGACCAGAGTGGATGAACTGATCGACCTTGTGCTAAAATTCGCAACTTGATTTTGGAAGTACCAACACAACTCTGGAATAAATCCTAACTCTTAAAGAGGGCGTAAGTCAGTTGAAAAATTGGTACAAGAACAAGAGCCTCCTCCAATAATCCAAGTTCCAACCAATTCCATCCTCTCAAGTCAAGTTGCCACAAAATATCTGAACCCAAGCACTAAAGTCCAAAACATCATCATCAATCATAATTCACACATCGCCGTCTATCAATCCTTATCCAACACACGAACAGGACGAATAGGATCATCAAATCAATCCAAAAACGAAAACAAAATACAAAAACAAAATATATCTGCATTCGGGCAAGCACATCTCAGCTCAGAAAAATCCCCAGAAACGACAAATGAAGGCCATGACTATCTATCTATATGGGGGTGAAGTAATTGTTTGTGCATCATGTATGTATGTATGTGTGTATGTATTGTATGTATGCATGCATAACGAAAGTGTACGATAACAACAAATCCCTAAGAAAAATTAAAAAAATCAAATAACCCACCTCAGAACTCTGAAAATATTTCTTGAGCTGCTTCTTCATCTCATCCAAGCAAATCGTTCTTGGCTCCTCCCGACTGACTGACCGTGACTAAAAACTATTGAAGGGCAATTTCAACTTTCATCAACACGCATAGACATTTAAACAAACAAAACCAAGGCAATTTCAACAAATCCGATTCATCTGATTTGAAAACGATTGGTAGATAAATTGCCCTTTCCTTTTTCAATTTTCAGAGAGAGATACATTCCGAACTTGATGGGTTGCCCGTCGTCTTGTCTTTTTCACAATTCTTTTTTTGTTTATTTTCTTTTTATGGTGGGTACGTGGCAGCTGTTCATGCTTTTCTTGGCCGAATCAGCAAAGCAGGAGCACACACATCATCATCGTAAGGTCTAAAATATCGTTGGTATCCGAAATATCGCTAGTCCAAAAACACGGAAATTTAGATGAAAATATCATAATATTATCAATATTGATAAAAATTAAATAAAAACCACAAAAATTGTAAGAAAAATTTGGAAATTTTTATTGAAACTTTGCAGGATGTTTATTTAGTCAATTATCTATTAGTTTATCACAAAAAATTGGAAGGAAATGCATTGCATGATGGATTTAACTGATTTAAGTTGATTATATAGCGAGTTGACAAACATTGTGAGTGTAGAAAATATGTAATAATTAAACACACCATAATCATTTATATATAATGAATTAGTACAATATTTTGCACTTTATACAGTGCATGGTAAGATACATGAGTGACTTAGTACCACATAGAGTTCCTATGAGGTTCAAAATTTTCACTATCTTCATCATCTCTATGTGTAGAGTAAGTGTATTGTGAAGAGTAGTCATCAAATGATAAATCCCCAAAATAGTTTTGCATGTAATTGTTAACATGTCATCCATATGGATCCGAGATTGTTTGACGTTGTCTATAAGAAAAATCATTTGAAGATTGAGTCTCAGATTCTTTCCATGAGTTGCTTGATTTCATCCCAACAGGAATGGGATATGAAGGGTAGGGAAATGGTTGGTTATGAGTATAACCATAATTACTACTTCTCACTCCAACAGAGTCTGAAGTTATAGATAACAAGTCATCTTCTTGACTTGACAAAGTCCCCTTGCCTCTTTCTCTACGAGTATAGTCATTCCTTATGGCACCAATTCCTGGTCATGCCCGCCTACTGCCATGGTCCTCATCCTGTGTTGCATGCATAAAGTTTGCCTCACCATTGAAGGGGCTCATGAATCCGGGAGGTGTTCCAACATAATTTTCATATCCACCACTACCTTTAGCTCCACTATATCCTTCATCATTCCCACCTCCGGTGGTAGGTGAGTCTCCTGATCTTGTACTAGAGCTATCATTCGTATCAGCAGGATCTTATGGTTGTGTAGGATTGGAAGAAGGTGGAATTCCAGTGTTTCTTGGTCTTGGGCGCAAAATTTCTTTGAAAGAGTCAGCGCTGCTAGATCCCACCTCCTCCTCCAATACTCTTTCTACATTTATCCCTTCATTACGTGCTTCTTCAGCAACTCTAAGAGCTGGGTTGCCTTCATCATCATCTAAATGAAGAGGTCTAATCCATTGATAAAGTTGGTTACCCTCTGTATCATCATCTTCAACAACAATATCAAACACATCTAGTGGGTCACCACGGTCGACATGATCTATTTCTGCTTCTTTATCTCGAATTTGAAGCTTCATGTTGTAGTAGCAATAAACTAATTTTTCCAACCTACTATGACCCAACCTATTTCTTTGCTTTGTGTGTATGAGTGCAAATGTACTCCAATTTCTTTCACAAGCAGATGAGGAAGCTGTTTGTGATAATACTTTGATTGCTAACTTTCTCACAGTTGGTGCATTAGTCCCATACATGATCCACCATTCAGCTATAATGAAAAACAATGTTGATAAGCCTAATAACTCCAACAAATTCTATTATAAACTGATAGTGAAATATGTTTACACTCACTAGGAGACATTTTTGTTCGAGCAACAACTGATATTGGTTCTCCAAAAGTTCTTCTTGCATCTTTAAACCATGTTAACTGAATTCAATAAATCATGTTAGTTTAATCCAACAATGTAATTATTATAATTTGAGTAATTGTGTACCTCATTTCCAAATTGGCCAACTGCTGGTGATGCAGGGTCTAATCTAGAGTATACATTATGTATAGCACGTATAAGGGTACCATCATCTCCAACACCGGGTCTGTATTGGTATCGAGCATTCAAATAATATGCTGTTCAAAGAAACACATACTCTAATAAGAGAAATAATACTTGTACAACTAAATAAATGAATTGCAAATTATGACATAATTTATACCTGCCGCATGCAAATTGTGGTATAATGTTTTATACCATCGGTAATCAATTATCTTTATGACCCACCTTGCACCATGTTTTCTTTCCAAGTCCTCCTTCACTACAAGCATCAACTCATATATTGCCCCCATAGTAGGATACACTTCTGTGTCAACGATCCGTAAAACTTTGTAAAAGGGTTCAAACAGTTGGCACACATGTTCTGATTGAGTGCAAAAAGCATGATCAAGCACTATACTTTCCACCATACGACTTGCATTTGAGCAGCTGAAATTGTGGTTGGCCCAATCGTCACTAGTGAATAGTTGCTTCAACCCTGCTTTCTTCTTAAGTAGGTTGTCTAATGCAATATAGTTGGTGGCAAATCGAGTGGTAGCTGGAAGAATAATTTCTCCTTTGCAAAATTCACGCATCTTTGCCAACAACCAACTGTGATTGTAAATATAATTTGTGATTGTTCTAGCTATTTTTACTACATTAGCAATATTCTCTTTCTTCCCCATTGCCTCAAACATAAGATCAATACAATGTGCTTCACATGATGTCCAAAACACATTATGATGCTTCATTAACTTTTTTCCAGCTTTGACAAATGCAGAACCGTTGTCGGTCATAACTTGGACAACATTATGCTCTCCCACCCCCATGATTACATCCCTCAATAATTTGTAAATATACTGTAGTTCTTTATATGGTTTGAAGCATCAACGGACTTCAAAAAAATTGTCTTTCCCTTGGAGTATACCATGAAGTTTATGATAGACAATCTGGTCGGGCCAGTCCATCTGTCATACATGACTGTGCAACCATTAGTTTCCCATTTTGACCTCTTAACTTGTTAACATACTCGCCAATGTCTTTATACTCCATTTCCAAATATTTGTTTCTTACCTCATAGGGAGTGGGAGGTTGTACTCCAACACCGGCCTGTTGACATCCCAATACCATATTTTTGAAATGATGTGATGATGCCTTCTCAGCAGGGACATTTTCATAGATAAAGAACTTGCTAATTAGACGCCCCATTCCCTCCTTCACATTACCTCAGTGAAATAACTTCAAACACTCTTTTGACGTGCTTTGGATGACTTATATAAACTTGGGGCTATTGGTGGTGTTGGTTGTGATTCTCTAACACTTACTCCCCGTCTCATTTGTGCACCACCACTTGTCCTGGAACATTGTGCTCTATTAGGAATTTTATGAAGGTGTTCTATTTCCCAAGCTGACTGTTTGGAGGCACGTAATGCTTAAATGAAATTGCGTCGTTCATCAGGTCCTACGTCATCATCACATTCGTCCTCATCGTCATCATCATCATCATCATTGTCAACCACTTGGCCAATGACTTCTCCTCGTAGCCCAGCTCGAATATTTTCCATTCGATGTGTTTTCTTTTCCTTCTGGTGTTTTTTATTTTTTAATAATGTGGTGATAAATGCCTTCACTTCTGGGGGGACATTATCGAATCGTTGGACATCATTTCCTGGATCTAATCCACTAAGATGGTACTTAAGTCGTGTCACTCCGCCACTCTTCATTACCCGACCACAATATTTGCAAATTGTGCCATGTTTGTTTCCATCTATTGGGTCTCCATGTTCCCAAGCTGGATCACGTTTAGTAACTCCACTAGACATCTTAAACGTACCTATACTTATTTTTCATGGAAATTAGGCAATTATTTTTTGGCCAAAAAATATAGTAGTGATGACGGTTATATAAGAGAACCTAAATAATAAAGTTATTCTACAGAAGAATTAAATACAAAGTAAAGAAAATGATTGTAAGAATTTAAGTAATTATAAAAATAATATGGAATAATAAAACCTAATATTAATTAATAATAATCCAATTTGATAATAAAATAATCCTAATGTTAAACATATTAATGAATAATAATCCAATTTGATAATAAAACCTAATATTAATAAAATAATAAAATAATAAATAACATTAAACATATTAAAATTATCCTAGGGAATAATTATACAACATTACTTAATTACTTCAAAAAATTAACATGCAAGTATTATTTGGTTCTTAGATCACATGTACGGGTCCACACAATTTTTTTTGTTGTTGTATAAATTACAATAATATAAATATAAGTTTATAAACTTACCTTAAATATGGAACCCTTTGTGTTGAAGCTCTAAAAGGGCTCTGGAAAGGCTCTAAAAGGGCTAAGGGAAGAAGAAACGAAAAGGTGTAATACAGGTATGATGATCTGATACTCCGAATGTGTAAGAGTTGGAAGTGGCACACGGTTTTGAGTATGAAACCAACCACCACTACTTTTTGTCTTGTCAAAAGTTGTCAAAAGTTTCAAAAGTTGGCCCGTTTGGGGATTTATATTATATATATATATATATATATATTATATTATGTAACTTATCACAACACACACACCACACACACAGAATTATTATGTTTATTTTATTGATATTATCCCGATATTACCGATATTATCCTGATATATTGACGAAAATAAGGTAGATACGTGTGAAAATATCCACCTCTAAAAAAAACGATATTATCGGCGAAATATCACCGATAATATCGATATTTAAGACCATGATCATAATTTCATTGCCTTGCCATCAGGATTCTTCCCATCTTCTTTGGGAGTATCTTTGTGAATTGAGTTTGTTTATCGTAAATTGTGCAATCAGTTTTTCATGTTTATGTTTATTTTTAAATTAAACATAACTTACGAATTTCTGAAATCCTCACAAAGAAAACCTGAACTTTTACCAAAGGTCCAAAAGTAAGAAGAGAATACTATAACTATTACTATTACTCCTAATCCACTAAGTTCGGGGATCCAAACTATTGAAATTTGATCCAACGGTTACAAGCAGGAGCCCACTTTAAAAGTTATAATAATTTTAGCTGTTGGATCAAATTTCAATAACTTGGATTCCCGAACTTGATAAATTAGGTGGAAGGGATCTGGAGATATCTCTTTCCCTCTACTGTAACTATTACTGTTAATCTTTGTTTTTGGAAAAAATTAAGGGAAGTATTATTGGCACTCTAAAAATCTCATTCTACACCCTTTACAAGTGTATTTTTCTTTTCTAATATAGAAAGTTTGAAATGTAGAATAAAATTTTTAAAGTACTAATAACAATTCCCAAAATTAAAATAAGAATACCATAACTATTACTCTACTAGTCAGCCTTATTAGTTATTTTTGTTACACATTGAGATTACACACACATGTAAACTGGTAGAAGTCGGATAGAATCACCCTTGATCCGTCTTCGGATCCATCTGTAACCTTACTCTTTTGTTATATATATATATATAATTTTTTTTTTATATAAAAGTTTCATGTTCCATCATAAGAAAATAATAAATATATGTATTTTTATTGCATAAAAACCTGAATTACCATTACACTATTGTGTGCGATAAATAATATAAAAGTCAAATAATATGTTATACTAAGTCGGATTGGATCACTCTTGACCTATATCTGGTTTCAATGTAGTTGGAATATCGAATTCAAATGTATTCGGGTAATTGGTCGTGATCCAAATCCTACTAGTTACATCAAATTCAGATTAAATTTGTATCAAAAGCTGATTCATTGACAGGTCTAATTATACAAAGTCACTTAAATAAAAGTGGTATTATTTAGTTAAGAATTTTGACATACGGCTGGCCGGCCCAACATGAGGCTCCTTTGCTCTCAATGCTTTTCCCTTGTGTCAGGTTGGACGATGGCGATAAGCTCCGATGACAGAGGGATGTGGATGAAGATCCACGACGTTGGCGATGGCGAGCATGTTCAATGGCGAACAATCTGAAAACAATAGTACATTTTAAGCTATTATTGGTACTATCTTATAGTGTTTGAATAAAAAGTATTTCTAAATATAACTTATATGTGTGTTAGAGAGAGAGAGAGAGAGAGAGAGAGAGAGAGAGAGGGAGTGATAGTGTAATACTAATGCTAATGCTGTGTGAGTAGCGCGGCAATTGGCAATTTACCGCAAGGGAGACCCAAAAGTAGTTAGTCATTAACTAGCCAACTTTCAAGTAGCGTTCTATTTTAGGCTCAGTGTATTTTCCAATTTAACAAGTCATAGATCCGAAAAGTCCGCGAAAAGCTGTGAATTATTTAAGTTATTTGTTGTTGTGGTAATTTGGGCATTTGAAATCGAGGCAATCATGGTTAGATTTCAAGTGGTTCATGAAAGACTCGGTCAGGCTTTAGAAGGTTTGCCTGATGAACTTAGCATCTCAGATGAAGTTAAGGAACAGGTATATACATATATGTTGCCTTTTTTTCGTTTCAAAGCTAACGATAATGCTTCCCATGTGTTATTTCGTTTTTCATACACAGATCTTTATCCATTCAAACTAATCTCACTTTGCTGCACGTGTTTGATATAAGTTTGTGTATCAAAAACTTAACTTAGACGAGCGAGGAAGCGAACGGATGCGCAGGACATAGAACTCGCAATGGATATTATGGTGGTTTTGTCCAAAAAAGAAGATAGAAATGCTGATGGTGCCATTATAGAGAGGCTGGCCCAAAAGCTAGACCTGCAAAAATCTGAGGACCTTAAGATAGAAACAATAGCTGTGAGGAATCTGGTGATGATAAAGAGAGAGGAGGGCCAAGTGCAGAGACTACGCAGCAAATCATTGATCTTCTAAACAAATTCAGACAAATCGCAGGAATGGAAGCGACCAATGTCCTTGACGACCCTGTTATGCCTAAAATGCTCGAGAAGTGCCCGTCTTTGATGATCCCTCATGAATTCCTCTGTCCAATCACGCTAGAAACAATGACGGATCCTGTTATTGTTGCAAGTGGACAGGTGATTCGCTTACATGAAATAGGCACTAACTAGGTTTCCCTGGTATATTTTCTTCTTCCTTCTACTCGTGTCACGTGAGTTGGAGCATATCTTCCGTAGAGAAAGTAAACTTGTGCAGAGTCCACATTTAAAAATGTTATATTAACAGAGTGGAAACTGATTAGTTTTTCCTCTTTCTTGGGTTTGGTTATTTCATTGAAGACGTATAACAGAGAAAGCGTACAAAAGTGGCTGGACAATCACAGGACATGTCCCAAGACCAGGCAGACTGTGGCTCACCTGTCACTGGCACCAATTTACGCTCTCAAAAATCTAATCATGCAGTGGTGTGAGAAGAACAACTTCCAGCTCCCGAAAAAAGAAACTTCCACGGGCCAGGAAAACTCCTCCACCGAACACAAAGAGGAGATCTCATCATTGGTTGATCAGCTGCCCTCAAGTCACTTAGAAGTGCAAAGAAATGCTGCCATGAAGATTCGTTTGATCTCTAAAGAGAAGAGAACAGAATTTTGATTGCCAAAAGTGGAGGAATCCCGCCACTGGTGCAACTTCTTTCCTATCCAGGTTCTAAAATTCAACAGCATGCAGGAACGGCTCTTTTGAATTTATCGATTGACAAAACAAACAAGAAACTGATAACCAGAGAAGAAGCCATTCCAGCTATTATAGAAGTCTTGCAGAATGGAAGCACAGAAGCTAGAGAGAACTCTGCAGCAGCTTTATTTAGCTTGTCGATGATTGATGAGAACAAAGTAATTGTGGGGGAATCAAATGGCATTCCGCCATTAGTAGACTTGTTGCAGGACGGG